CTCCCCGGGGCTGCGGGGGATGCTGTAATGCTGCCCAGCCGCCGAAGCCCGCGGCGTGCGGTTCTGCATCTCTCCTTGGGATGAAACCGCCCGCAATTAAGAAAGCTGAGGTTGCCCAGCTTGCTCAGCTGTCAACCCTATATTGCACAAGTCATAGCTGCCTCTTCTTGTTTGATTTAGAAGGAAACCTTACCCACACTGTCAGGCTTAGAACTGGCGAGGCTAAAATTTAGGACTTTCGGTATTTGGTTTCTTCATTTCCGTGTCTGGATTTTCACCAACGTGTGTCACAGGTTTGCAGCCAGATGCTTTTGCAAAATGGATGAAATCTCGAATACCCTGCTAGGTAAATATAAGTAAGTTACATATTGTCTGGCAATACTGTTCTGGGTAACAGGTGATAAATAGCTTTCTACAAATGTCATATTCATGCATTGCAAATGTGGGGAGTTCTGTAAAGGAAGTTAATTCTTTTTTCACATCAGTGGATGCTAGTGTCATCCCCCTTACGTAAATCACTACGGAATTTTCCTGTGGCACGAGCCATTTAGGCAAACAAATTATTTAACCTTTATAAAGAAACAGCGTTACACACTGTTATCACTGTTATCAAATATATATTTTTATCTGAGTTCATACTCAGAATAAGCAAAGTCCTAATAAAAGATACATGTGCCCCACCCCAATAAGTTTACAGCCCAAGACACGAAGGCTCCCTAAAATAGGTGAGCATTAGACATTTAAATGTGTTTCTCCATCAGGGCCTTAGATCCTTTTAAGTAGCCAAAATAAGAACATAATTTGATTAAAAGCATACGATCAAAAAAATCACTATAGTGAATTGAACATCTAGTCCCATATCCTGGCTCTGACTATAGTCATTAGCAGATGCTGAAGGGAGAAAAACGTAAGAAACAGGATTGGTATATAGCAATCTTTTCCTGGCATATCCTTTCAAGTTCCAGCAAACCGTAGTACAGGGATTTCTTAAACTGGGGTTTGCTCCCAGACCATCATATTTAATAAGCTCTTGAATTTCTCTGTTCTTTTTTTTAATCCGTTTATACCTTGGTCTCAACCACATTCTGTGGCAACGAGCGCCACAATGTAATTACAATTTGTGTGAAAAAGTACTTCCTTTTGTTTGCTATGAACCTGCTGCCTGATAATTTCATTCAGTGCTCCTTAGCTTTCGTATGTGACAAGGAGCACACGCTGTGTCTGTACAAGGTGCTAGGAGTGTCCTCTCACACCAGAGCAGGTACAGCGCTGGCAGTTCAAGTCCCTTCATTTTATCTATCACTGAGTTGAGAGGTCTGCCTAGAGGTGTAAAGCCATATCCAGCCCTCAGTCCTTATGTTGAAATCTACGGATAAGAGTAGTCATTCTTTTTCTTGATATCCAACACGGACACATGTGCACAGAGAATTGCCCTGAACCCGTGAACTCATTTCAAGGAGGCTACTGAAAAGCTGTTTGTTGAAAATTAACTCCCTGCACTATTGATCTGAATCAAAATCTGACTGACAGCTTGGTGAAGAATCCCCTATCCTAATCCAGTCTTCTACCTACCCTGAAAAGAAGATGAAATGTTTTATTCTTAAACTGCAATTCTTCATTTTTAAGAAGTATACTACATACAAAATGCAAGCTATATGTCAAGGGACATATTTCTATGAACTCTTGTACATTTGAATTAGCATCACTTCTAATTGTTCTGTGTAACGTTCATTATAAGGATGTGCATATTGAACAACATGCATAGTTTCAAAACTAAAGTTTAAATGTCCCATAAAATCTAACTGATTTGGAAGGACCTGTGACACAAGTTCTTCTCCCCAAGAGTACTACTGAATTTGAATCATGCTTGAGGAGCACTAGTATTGAGCAGACCAACATCGCAGAAAGCTTCCCTGATCTCACTGGTAGCCCCGCTTTGACTTCCTCACAAGAATAATAGAGGAATAAGAGACCAGAGAACCACAAAAGCACAGCCCAGACCCAAAGACCCAGAAGTTCTCACAGTTTGAAATCAGCAGCAGACACAACTTGGAGCAACAATCCACAGCAGAACATGGACAAGTGGAGAACAAGTAGAAACCCACGCAAATTGTGAAATCCTTCACAAAAAATAAAATACTGGGAACCTCAGATGCACCAGTCTTCATCTCCCAAAAGACTAAAAGAAGAAGAGACTGAGTGGTATCATTATGAAGACAGGATAGGAGGGTTGTCAGCCAGTCTCAGACTTAAGCCAGTCTCAAACTAAATGTGAGAATGATTTTCCACTTACAAGTGGCATATATGTGTATGTATATTTGTGGCAAACCATATATAGAGAGACTATATAAACTTTCCTTCACAGAAAATACATTAGCTTGAATAAATTGTACAACCCTAGTATCTTTTAAATAGCACTTTCTTACTTGTATGCTTCACACGTATGCCTTTAAGTATGAAATGTGGAGATTCTTATGAATACGTTAGAAGCGTACTAAGTGGCACAGTATTAGGTCTTACAGAGATGTTCACCACAGTTCCGTTAGCTCCCTCCTGATCATGTCTCCATGATGTCAGGTAGGGATTTATTTTGCACTTGTACCAAGGTCTTAGCTTCAGCTTTTTTAATGAAAAATATATCCTCACCACACTCATAGTGCTTATTCTGTGAATACAGAATGAGTTTTCTAAGAACATAAAATTCATGTGCTAATTGGCTTGAGTTAAAATTAGTTAAAAACTAAATTCTTCAAGAAATTTAGCATTTCTGTTGGCCTGTGCTTTGTTCTAAGTAGTCTTAATAATGAAATAATGCAATCAAACTTTCCATACTGTTGATTAATTAAAAGCTTGTGCATAGGGTATAAAAACAAATGAATAGATTAAGTTGTAACTAAGTTTATCTATTCATGGTTATAGCTAATGGCTCTAGCTATACAGGCTGTAAGTAGGCTTGTGTGAGTAGCTTTGCTGCTGACTCCGGGGGGGCTACTGCACCCTCCGAAGGAGCTCAGCCCTTCAGCTCGGCACCGCTGCATGTCTTGGCTACAGTGGGTCTGAGATAGGAAGCTGCATGCACATCTCACTCTGATCCTCTGGCACGTTAACCAGTTCAAAGATCACTTTTCTGCAAAGATTTTGTGTCTCGACCCCAAAAGTCAGGTGTCTGCACTCAGAAGGTTTCCCTTGGCACTGCTGCTGTCTCTAAGGAGCACAAGGAAGCAGCCATGCAGTGTGACGGTGGCAGGAGCCTGGGGGAACGCTTAAAGCACACAAACAGATGAACTCAGGGTCTGCACTGCTCCTCCTGCTGAATCTGGGCCTTGGCTAAATGTGGGTCCTTCAAACCAACGGAGGGGCTTGATTCCTTAGCATGCTTTGTCTGCTTTGCACTGCTCCAGTGATGCAAAATAGATACAAACTCAATTTAAATGATGGGTGTGCTTTGAATAATTTGTGCTGTTCTGGTATATTAATGAATGTGGGCTTAAATTAAAAAAAAAAAAAGAACAAAAGTAATGCAATCAGTTTAAGATTGATGCTATCATATCTTCATATAAGTTTTGAGTGATAGCTTTGTCTTTCTTTGTTTATAAAATATGAATGAAATGCTTCTTACTTTTCATACTATCAAAATTTTCATACATTATTTACTTTGTAAGCAAATGGCAGTAAGTTCTTAGAAATCAGTAAATTTATAGACACAATGTATGTGGGGAATTACAGGTAGAGAGCTGGAATAGAAATAAAAGGTTAAGAAAATCTTAAATCCTAAAGCCAAGCATTACATATTACTTAAAGACACTCAGACATCTTAAACACTACATCTGCACTGCATAATCTTTCTCCATGCAAAAATACTATATATCTAGCCTAGTTTCTTCAGTGAGAAAGGGAGTAAATTAGTGAGTGATGCATTAACACAGCCGA